TTGCAAATGGAAAGCTGACACCGTGCATTCCATGTGAAGTAATGGACTACTAAGCTAACTAGAAAAAGTGTCTCAAAATCCAAGTCCCGGTGAGTTTGAAAGGCTCCGTAAAACCACTCCACGTAACTCAAGCGGGAAAGGAAAGGGATCCCCAGAGCCCCATCCACCCGCTTATAGACTTCTATATTGAAGGGGCATTGAAGCAAGAAATGGTCCATCGTCTCCTCCACCCCACCGCACTCCACTCTTGGACAACCACATGGGTGTGACAGCTCCATCAGCATATGGAACAGATATGAACATAAAATTTGCTTTTAAAATTGCAGTCTCTGGTCATCTTCTGTACTATATCCGCAGTCTCTGGTCATCTCCTGTACTATGTCCGCAGTCCCTGGTCATCTCCTGTACTGTGTCCGCAGTCTCTGGTCATCTCCTGTAGTATGTCCGCAGGCTTCGGTCATCTCCTGTATTATGTCCACAGTCTCTGGTCATCTCCTGTACTATGTCTGCAGTCTCTGGTCATCTCCTGTACTATGTCCTCAGTCTCTGGTCATCTCCTGTAGTATGTCCTCAGTCTCTCTGGTCATCTCCTGTACTGTGTCTGCAGTCTCTGGTCATCCCCTGTACTGTGTTTTCAGTCTCTGGTCATCTCCTGTACTATGACCGCAGTCTCTGGTCATCTCCTGTAGTATGTCCTCAGTCTCTGGTCATCTCCTGTACTGTGTCTGCAGTCTCTGGTCATCTCCTGCACTATGTCCTCATTCTCTGGTCATCTCCTGTAGTATGTCCTCAGTCTCTGGTAATCTCCTGTACTGTGTCTGCAGTCTCTGGTCATCTCCTGTACTGTGTCCGCAGGCTCTGGTCATCTCCTGTACTATGTCCGCAGTCTCTGGTCATCTCCTGTACCGTGTCCGCAGTCTCTGGTCATCTCCCGTACTATGTCCCCAGTCTCTGGTCATCTCCTGTACCGTGTCTGCAGTCTCTGGTCATCCCCTGTACTGTCCACAGTCTCTGGTCATCTCCTGTACCGTGTCCGCAGTCTCTGGTCATCTCCCGTACTATGTCCCCAGTCTCTGGTCATCTCCTGTACCGTGTCTGCAGTCGCTGGTCATCCCCTGTACTGTCCACAGTCTCTGGTCATCTCCTGTACTATGTCCGCAGTCTCTGGTCATCTCCTGTACTATGTCCGCAGTCTCTGGTCATCCCTGTACTGTGTCCGCAGTCTCTGGTCATCTCCTGTACTGTGTCCGCAGTCTCTGGTCATCTCCTGTACTATGTCCGCAGTCTCTGGTCATCTCCTGTACTACGTCCGCAGTCTCTGGGCATCTCCTCTTCTATGCCTGCAGTCTCTGGTCATCTCCTGTACTGTGTCTGCAGTCCATAGGTTCAGAATATTTTTTTCTTGTTTTCCTCCTCTAAAACCTAGGTGCGTCTTATGTTCAGGTGTGTCTTATGGAGCAAAAAATACGGTGGCCTAGATGAATGAGCCATCATCCAATCATGTGCAAAACAAAAATACTGTTCTTTAAATTTTCCTTCTTCATGATTGGGTATTCCTTGCAAAGTGAATGTTTACCCGATTCACTATGCTAGCGGAAAATTCCCTTTGCAAAGTTTACAGCCTTTAATAAATCAGCCCCGTAGTATCCGATTGCTGATTCCACCTCTCTCCATCGTGAACTGTCAGCCAGGAATCTGGATGGAATTATGTTTACATTTACAGTTAATATATGTGTAATGAGGATCCGGCAGACACATATAGATATAGGATGGTAGGGGGGACTCCGACTATTGCGCTGTAAACACTCCGCTGCCTGGCACAGAGCGTTCAGGAGGAATTTACTCCTTTAAACTTGATACAGAGCGAAAGGCAAGTTTTCTGACCCCGGCGACCTTCCAGCATCAAGTACCAAATTCTCACTCAACACCAAAGAGCAGAGCAACCGCTGAGAGCGAAAAAACTGACTGACTGCGAGGGAACACGTCTGAGTTGTTCAGTGAAATCTTTTATATAAAGGCCATCCCCATTTTCAAGAATCCGGAGTTTTGGTTAGGGGCTCATTCACAATATGATGTGCGTCCACACGTGAATGCTTTTTTTGTGTATTCTGATGTGTTGCATTTTAAGGCAGCCTATTCCTTTTAAATGGGCTAAAATGCCCCAGAAAGGTGCAGGCACAATGTGAAAAATCATGCCATGACAAAATGTATAGTATTACGGTACCATGGATTTTGGCTCCTGGAAATGTGCGCATGTTTATTGAGATGTGTGTATGGGTGGGGTGCCATTAAGAATGAATGGAACTTGCATGTGTCTGCAAAAGGAAGTATGTTTTTGTGAGGTGTAGGAGAATGTGCAGTTTTGCGCACGCTCCCACACCGCACCTGGTGTGAGCAAGCCCTAAGGCTATGTTATTACCATTATACAGGATTTATATAGCGCCAACAGTTTGCTCAGCACTTTACAATATAACGGGAGACAATACAGCAACAATACAGTTCAATACAAGAGGGTTAGGAGGGCCTGATCCTGGGAGCTTACAATCTAAGAGGGAGGGGCTGGTGGTACAAAAGGTAATAACTGTGGGGGATGGACTGATAGGAGGAATAGAAGATTCCATTATTAGCTGAGGGCAGGATAGGCTTCCCTGAAGAGATAGGTTTTCAGAGATCGCCTAAAAGTGAGCAGAGTAGGCGATAGTCTGATAGATTGGGGTAGAGAGTTCCAGAGGATGGGGGATGCTCTGGAGAAGTCCTGGAGAGGAACATGGGAGGAGACGAGAGCTAGAGAGCAGGAGGTCGTGCGAGGGGCGGAGAGTACGGTTTGGGTGATATTTGGAGACAAGATCGGTGATGTAATTTGGGGCAGAGTTATAAATGGCTTTATATGTTATTGTTAATGTTTTGAATTTTATCCGTTGGGCAATGGGAAGCCAGTGGAGGGATTGACAGAGGGTTGGCATCTCTGCATGTCAGGAACCTGCGCAAGAGGGTGCGCTGAAATGTATCAAATGTGCAGAAGTGACATTGATTTTTAATGGAACCCCTATGCATTAGCAACTGCGGTGTGTTTTAGCACATGCTAAGCCATACGTCCCTGCAGTACCATGTGGTCGGTGCAATCCGATTTAAAAAAAGGGTTGGGGCCTTCTTTCCCTATGTTCCCTCACAAGACCTCCTTCTCTCTAGTTCCCTGGTCTCCTCCTCCCATGCCCGCCTCCAGGACTTCTCTAGGGTGTCACCCATCCTCTGGAACTCCCTGCCCCAACCCATCAGATTATCACCTACTCTCCTCTCCTTTAGGCGCACCCTGAAAACCCATCTCTTCAGGGAAGCCTACCCCACCCCCTGCTAACTTGCCGACCTCCTCCACTCTTCCTACCACTCCATCCCCCACAGCTATCTCCTCATGTGCCACCACCCCCTCCCTCCTAGATTGTAAGCTCGAAAGAGCAGAGCCCTCGATCCCCTCATGTTTTGCATTGTATTGGTATTGTTCTGTCACATGTTCTGTCCCCCTTTGTAATGTACAGCGCTGAGCGAACTATTGGCGCTTTATAAATACTGTATAATAATAATAATAATAATGTTTCTCAGGATTAGGGAAGACCATTGGAATGAATAGGCTAATCCACATGTGACGTACATGCACATGTGAACCAGCTCTAAAGCTGAATTCCAGGTATAGATATTTAATATAGCTGCATGAGTCCAGCTGGTTTGTATATGCCATGCCTGTGGGATCCCCATGGAAGCTGGAAATCATGGTAGTAGTCACCGCTACTACAATAATCTCCACCAGTTTCTTGGTCCCATGCCGAGCCACTGCTCTGCTACATTGTGAACATAGGAGGTTGCCTGCTTGGCACAGGTGCCATTGCTTGTTTGGACCAGGCAGGGATTGTGATGCTGTCATCACATGCAGCAGTGCAGTGGGACCCTGAAGGTAAGGGAGATCATTTGTTGTTAGCTGTAAACAGCAAGCTCATATGGGAAAAATAAAAACGCTCAATTTTAAGAGAGCTAATTTTCCAAGGCTGAGAGCTGCTCTCCAACACTTAGACTGGGAGGGAATATTGGCATCACTGAACACAACACATAAATGGGAGTTCTTCAAAAAGACTGTATGTGACCACACTGCAAAATATATTCCCATGGGCAACAAGTTTAAAAGGCTAAAAATCAAACCTATGTGGCTTACGGCCAAAGTTAAAAAAGCTATAGATAATAAGAAAAGAGCTTTTATTAAATATAAAAATGAAGGAACACTATCATCGTTTAAACATTACAAAGAATATAAGAGAATATGCAAAAAGGAAATAAAGGCCGCAATAATTTTAAATAAACGTCAGATTGCAAAAGATAGCAGGACCAACCCCAAAAAAATTATTTAAATATATTTATAGTAAAAAGGTCCGGTCCGAGCATGTAGGCCCTTTACAAAATAATCTAGAGGGGGTGTCTGGGGACAAAGAGAAGGCAAATTTATGAAATCCCTTCTTCAGCTCTGTGTATACAAAGGAGCATGGGGGGCTCTTGTCCATAATGGGGGGTGGTACTGACACAGCTCCAGATGGTCCACATTGGCTCACATTTGATATGCTCCAGAAATATTTAGACAGAATAAAGGTGAATAAAGCCCCTGGACCGGATGGCATACACCCACGGGGCCTTAAAGAATTGAGCTCTGTCATTTCAAAGCCATTGTTTCTCATTTTTAGGGACTCTTTAATGACTGGCATAGTACCACTGGATTGGCGTAAGGCCAATGTGGGGCCGATATTTAAAAAGGGGTCAAAATCTTTACCAAGTAATTATAGACCTGTTAGTGTAACTTCTATAGTTGGGAAGATACTGGAGAGTTTAATAAAAGATCACAAGATGAGATGTTGCTGGAAAAAAATATTTTAAGCAACAGACAGCATGGATTCATGAAAGACATAAGTTGTCAAACAAATCTGATTTCTTTTTATGAGGAGGTGAGCAAAACCTTGGACAGAGGGGTGGCGGTGGACGTGGTATACTTGGACAGAGGGGTGGCTGTGGATGTGGTATACTTGGAGAGAGGGGGCGGCTGTGGACATGGTGTACTTGGACAGAGGGGTGGCTGTGGACGTGATATACTTGGACAGAGGGGTGGCGGTGGACGTGGTATACTTGGACAGAGGGGTGGCGGTGGACGTGGTATTCTTGGACAGAGGGGTGGCTGTGGATGTGGTATACTTGGACAGAGGGGTGGTGGTGGACGTGTTATACTTAGACAGAGGTGTCGCTGTGGGTGTGGTATACTTGGACAGAGGGGAGGCTGTGGACGTGGTATACTTGGACAGAGGGGTGGTTGTGGATGTGGTATACTTTGACAGAGGGGTGGAGGTGGACGTGGAATACTTGGATTTTGCAAAAGCGTTTGACACAGTTCCCCACACATGGCTAATGTGTAAGGTAAAGTCTACAGGATTGGAAAAATCTGTATATAAATGCATAGAAAACTGGCTAAAAGATGGTATTCAGAGAGTAGTGGTTAATTATTATTATACAGGATTTATATAGCGCCAACAGTTTGCACAGCGCTTTACAATATAACTGGAGACAGTACAATTACAATACATTTCAGTACAGCAGGAATATGAGGGCCCGGCTCGTGGAGCTTACAATCTAAAGGGTAATGATCCATACTCTGAATAGTCTAGGGGTGTCAGTGGTGTACCACAAGGTTCAGTGTTATTAGTGGGGGACCCCAAGGTTCAGTGTCATTAGTGGGATACCCCAAGGTTCAGTGTTGGGACCCTTACTTTTTAATATATTTATAAACAATATTGGGTCTGGGATTATAAATCCCATTTCAGTCTTTGCAGATGACACCAAGCTGTGCCGTGGAGTAACGTCCTTACAGGATGTCTCCAGTTTACAAGCTGACCTCAATGTTCTGTGTAATTGGGCAACTATGTGGCAAATGAGATTTAATGTTGATAAATGTAAGTTTCTGCACTTGGGGACTAAGAATATGCATGTAAGAATATGCAAGTTGTTCCCCCCATATACTAGGGGGGAACAACTGGGGGAATCAATGGTGGAGAAGGATCTGGGGGTTCTGGTAGATCACAAGCTTAATAATGGCAGCAATGCCAAGCTGCGGGTGCTAAAGTGAGCAAACTCCTCTCTTGTTTTAATGAGGCTCCAGAGAGAGAGATATCATTCCCCCCGGTACAAATCATTAGTAAGACCTCATCTGGAATATGCAGTTCAGTTTTGGGCACCAATTCACAAAAAGAACATTGGGGAAGTGGAGAAAGTACAGAGAAGAGCAACCAAACTGATAAGAGGAATGGAGGAGATCAGCTATGAGGAAAGATTAGAGGAACTGAATGTATTCTCTCTTGAGAAGAGGAGATTAAGGGGGGGATATGATCAACATGTATAATACATAAGGGGGGATATGATCTCCATGTATAATACATAAGGGGGGATATGATCTCCATGTATAATACATAAGGGGGGATATGATCTCCATGTATAATACATAAGGGGGGTATAATCTCCATGTATAATACATAAGGGGGGATATGATCTCCATGTATAATACATAAGGGGGGATATGATCTCCATGTATAATACATAAGGGTGGGTATGATCTCCATGTATAATACATAAGGGGGGGATATGATCTCCATGTATAATACATAAGGGGGGATATGATCTCCATGTATAATACATAAGGGGGGGATATGATCTCCATGTATAATACATAAGGGGGATATGATCTCCATGTATAATACATCAGTGGTTCATATAGTGAACTTGGTGTAGTTATTCACCCTGAGGTCATCACAGAGGACAAGGGGGCACTCTTTACGTCTGGAGGAAAATAAATTTAATCTCCAAACACGGAAAGGTTTCTTCACAGTGAGAGTTGTGAAAATGTGGAATAGACTCCCTCAAGAGTTGGTTGTGGCCAGCTCAGTGGATTGCTGTAGTAAAGTCCTGGATTGTTTCTTGGATACACAGAATATAACTGGATATAACATTTATAGGTAAAGTTGATCCAGGGAATATCCGATTGCCTCTCGGGGGATCAGGAAGGGATTTTTTCCCCTGCAGGAGGAAATTGGATCATGCTTTGCTGGGGTTTTTTTGCCTTCTTCTGGATCAACTGTGGGTGTAGGATTATAACTTTTTTTTTTTTAATGGTTGAACTGGATGGACTTTTGTCTTTTTTCAGCCAGACTAACTATGTAACTGCAGTAGCTGGGCCAGTGTAACTATGTAAAGTTTTCCATACCTTTAACAAGGCAAAGAGCACTGTGTGTAGTGCAGCTTCCACCCAAAAGGGAAAGTTCTGCTTTAAAGATTGGACCCCCGCTCCTTATTAAGGATTGGCACCTTTGGGGAGCGAGGGGGAGGGGGTACCCGAAATTGACAGGTACCCACTTCCGCTGCAATCGCCTAGGCGATCGGAAACGGAAGTTGTCCTCCTACCCTCCCTCCCCGTAGTCTTGTGGGACACATGACAGGTCCCAGAAGACGACTGGACCATTCAGGAAGCGCAGCGCTACTCGCGCATGTACAGTGGGCACCCGGCTGTGAAGCTGCAAGCTGTCACAGCCGGGTGCCCACACTGAAGAAGCCTCCACCTGAAATTTTTGGTAAAAAAAAAGTCATATACACATGTTGGAGGCAACATCTCTCCCCCTTCATCAGGGCTCAATGGACCATTGCTTCTCAGAAGAGATGAGCTGACAGCTCAATAGGAAACTGGGTTCGGACTGAACATTTGCTCCATGTTCAGCAGGAGCCAAAAATTGTATACAAAAGCTGTATTTATATAACTTACTCCATCCATATATAACAGCATCTCTCAGCCATTGGTTGTGAAGGAAGCCATGGGTACTTGCATCCCTAGGAATCGCTGACATCACTGGGATTCCCTAATCACATTACCAAAAGGACGGGCAAAGCAGCGACATCACTGCCCAAATATAGCCAATAGATACAGTGGGCAGTGACATTGACCAACTACGGTCATAGCCATTCGGCAAGAAAACCATCAGGATCGTATGTGCTGGATTGCTGAGGTGGGGGTGTGTTCCGGTGAGGCAGCGGGTATCATGGTTGCCAATGGATTATCAGTGCCGTGCATTTTTGTTTTTTTAAATAAAGGACTTTTTAAATATTTGGGTGTCTTTATTTCTAGGTTGCATCTTTTCTGAATGAGTGTGGGGTGAATGAGTAGGGGTACTGTGATACTCATTCAGGGGAGGTATCTGGGGGCCTTCTTATTATTAAAGGGGGCTTCCAGATTCTCATAAGCCCACAGACCCCCACAACCACTGGCCAGGGTTGGGGGTAAGAGGCCCTTGTCCTCATCAACATTGGGCAATACACCCTCTGGAAAGACACAGACCCATGTCAAGGACATGTGGCTTGGTGTGGTTCAGAAGGGGCTCACACTTCCCCCCAATTCCTGGCCAGCCAGGCTGCATGCCTAGGTTAAGGGTCTAGTATGGTTTTTTATGAGGGACCTCTTCCTTTTTTTTTGCTTGGTCTGGGTGGGTATATTTAGGGGGCTTCCAGGGAGCTTGATTGAGGGAGGGTGGGGGAGGGGGGACAGGGGATTGACACAGGGTTCGGCATATATTTGCAACTTCATATAATTTTTGATAAGTCTTTTAATAAAGTGTGATTTGGTAGCCATAAGAAAGTGTCATGTTCCATGTTATTTTTCTTTCTTTTTGGTAAACAGTGGGGCAAAAAAGTATTTAGTCAGCCACCAATTGTGCAAGTTCTCCCACTTAAAAAGATGAGAGAGGCCTGTAATTGGCATCATAGGTAGACCTCAACTATGAGAGACAAAATGAGAAAAAAAATCCAGACAATCACATTTGCTGGTTTGGAAAGAATTTATATGCAAATTACGGTGGAAAATAAATATTTGGTCAATATCAAAAGTTCATCTCAATACTTTGTTATATATCCTTTGTTGGCAATGACAGAGGTCAAACGTTTCCTGTAAGTCTTCACAAGGTTGGCACACACTGTTGCTGGTATGTTGGCCCATCCTCCATGCAGATCTCCTCTAGAGCAGTGATGTTTTGGGGCTGTCACTGGGCAACACGGACTTTCAACTCCCTCCAAAGGTTTTCTATGGGGTGGAGATCTGGAGACTGGCTAGGCCACTCCAGGACCTTGAAATGCTTCTTACGAAGCCACTCCTTCATTGCCCGGGCGGTATGTTTGGGATCATTGTCATGTTGGAAGACCCAGCCATGTTTCATCTTCAATGCCCTTGCTGATGGAAGGAGGTTTGCACTCAAAATCTCACGATACATGGCCGCATTCATTCTGTCCTGTACATGGATCAGTCGTCCTGCTCCCATTGCGGAGAAACAGCCCCAAAGCATGATGTTGCCACCCCCATGCTTCACAGTAGGTATGGTGTTCTTTGGATGCAACTCAGCATTCTCTCTCCTCCAAACACGACGAGTTGTGTTTCTACCAAACAATTCTATTTTGGTTTCATCTGACCATATGGCATTCTCCCAATCCTCTTCTGAATCATCCAAATGCTCTCTAGCAAACTTCAGACGGGCCCGGACATGTACTGGCTTAAGCAGGGGGACACGTCTGGCACTGCAGGATCTGAGTCCCTGGTGGCGTAGTGTGTTACTGATGGTAGCCTTTGTTACGCTGGTCCCAGCTCTGTGCAGGTCATTCACTAGGTCCCCCCGTGTGGTCCTGGGATTTTTGCTCACCGTTCTTGTGATCATTTTGACCCCACGGGGTGAGATCTTTCGTGGAGCACCAGATCGAGGGAGATTATCAGTGGTCTTGTATGTCTTCCAATTTCTAATTATTGCTCCTACAGTTGATTTGTTCACACCAAGCTGCTTGCCTATTGCAGATTCAGTCTTCCCAGCCTGGTGCAGATCTACAATTTTGTTTCTGGTGTCTTTCGACAGCTCTTTAGTCTTCACCATAGTGGAGTTTGGAGTGTGACTGTTTGAGGTTGTGGACAGGTGTCTTTTATACTGATAACAAGTTCAAACAGGTGCCATTGATACAGGTAATGAGTAGAGATGAGCGAAGTATTCAAAAATTCGATTCGACTGATTCGGCGAATTCGTGGAAAAATTTTGATTCGAGTCGAATATATTCGCTGTGAATTTAACTTAAAAAAGGGTGTTTCTAGGCTTCAGAGAGACTTAATATTAGTGCACAATGAG